AGTATTCATAGTTTTATAAATGACAGTATTCCATAGAAATGTCAATAAACCCCACCACAAACTTATTTGTTGGCTGCAATTTAGTTAACAAACAGGAGATGGCGTAGAGAGTTCTTTTGTTAGTATAAATTAAAAAATGATATTTTACAGTATTTCACTCTTTGTGATGAATATAAAAGTGTGTCTCGGCCCAGACTGGACTGGTTTCCCATGGTGCTTGTTGGTATCGGTCTCTCACTGAGCAGATTTCTGTGCTGGAATAGATTAGTGTCCTGCACAGCTTGGCAGACTTCCTCCTGTCAGATACTGAGTCCAGCGTCAGCCCAACAACATCAACAGTTTAGTTTGTTCAGTCTGTTGGCATCCGCCGCTTCTCCAGCATGCAACAGTGATTGTACTTTTTTTATTTTATTTTATTTTTTTACACACAGTCCTGTCAAACAAGTGGCTTCATTTCAGTTTCCATGCCATGCAACATGCAGGTCAAGGTTCCTGCTGTCAGTTCTGTTTACCATGGGTGAGAAAAGCAGCCTCCATATGGTGCCTTCAGGTCCTTCAGGGGGGAAACAAAAACATCTGTTCAGGCTACATGCATGTGCAAACATGGCCGACAGCTTTGAACACACGTGTTTGGAAAAGACCATCAGGCCAAAAACATATGTTCCTCTGAAGACAGTTGAACAGTACTGTACATTTGTGTATTGTTCAACCCAAGGTGACCGTCAGAGCACAGATAAAACTGCATCTGTCGGTGGTTTCTCTAATGACTTCTGTTATTTGTTCCATTGTGTTTGGTGTAAAGTGTGACGCTGTTTTCTTGTGGCAGTGCAAATTACAGCCTCAAACCACAGCTTGGGTTTTTCACAGTAAATAGCTGTAAACTGGTTTAAAAAAGGAGGGGGAAAAAAAAAGAACCAGAGCCGTAAATATTGGCTGATAATGTGGAAAAAGTAGCTCCTGGTTTTGACTCAACCCTAACTTTAACTACTTTTTGTGGTTTTTCTAATGAGCATTTCATGATGCAGTGCATGTGAGTGCAGTATAAGAACCAGAGTCACTGCAGTCTGACTTCATTACTGCAGCAGGTATCCTCCCTGTCCTTAATGAAATCGTCGTGTCTGTCTTTGTTCATGTGTTTGGTAACTAAGGTTAACACAACAACAATGAGAAAACGACTTTAACGCTGTGAATTTTTTGGACCTGTTATGATTAGCTCGTAATTCTGAGCAGATTTAAAAATCAGAAAGAATCTCATGACACAGCGGTAATGTGACAATGAAGACGACGAGCCGTTAAACTGGTGCCACGTGTTCTTTGACATTCACTGTCCAACAGACCGAGGTGACTTAATCCTAAGTAATCGAGTCAACTCTGGACAATCACCTGATTAATCATAATAACATATTTAAAATATGTTTTTACGATGCTCTTGTGCAGTGTGTGTTTACTCTCTATTGCCACATAGGAATACAGTGGGTGACACTGTAGGGCAGAGGCAAGATCTGAAGGGTGCAATCTTGAAGTAGTGTGGAGCAGCTCAGCCTCTGGTGAAGAGGAACTAATATGACTGTTCCACTTGGTTTAGATTTTATTTCTAATTTACCTTTTTAATCAACGGGGTCAAGCTCTGCTACACACCAGACTTTTGTAACATGACCTTTTTTTTTCACAGCGAATCAAAAAATTAAATCAAACTACCATTTTATCAGAGTGCACTCTGGGTAGAAACCAAAAAACAAAAGAATCTGCATTTGATTATTAATCCCTGACTGCTGTGTGTGACCTGGGTTCACAGGCTTTAATCACACAGTCCTCTCACACACACAGTGCTTCAGTGGCCACTCTGTCTAATGTAAACACAGCAGATGTATATACAGCATGGCTATGAAGACATTTCCTCTCCGCCCCCCCACCGCAGCCCACAGATGTGAAGCAGATTACACCCCCCGCTCCCCAACCCCTTCTTTTTCCACTGCAAAGAAAGAAATCATTCAGTCACAGCCGCTCCCCCTCCCCTCCGTAGAGAGGGGCACACAGACGACCACTCCGCTCCAGCCAAACCTTAACTCACTGCACGGCTCTGCATTTTTTTCCCCTGACATGAAGAAGGGAACGGAGTATTTGTTCCCCGTGCTGGTGAAAGGTAGTGCTGTGCTCTTTAGAGTCAGTAGTAAAAGGTGGAGGAGTTTTAGCTGTGAACATTTCCTGGAGTGAAGGTAAGGCTGAGTTTTGGATGTGCAGCATGAAGAAAAGTCAAACTTCTGCTCTTAGAGAAAGAAAGATCTCATAGACTTAGTTGTTGTTTAAAAAGTTGTGTTCCTGATATTTGTGTTATTATAATAAGCCAGCGTGTCTCCTGGCTCTGTTGGTATCATTCTGTCATGCAAGTTTTGTTTTTTTTAATTATTTACCTTCACCTACGCACTGAAGCTGTGAGTCGTCTCGGTGCTAAGCTGTTTTAGTGGCAGCAACATGTCACGTCACCTTAAAAGAGTGTTGAGACACCTGTGAAAACACACCTGTCCGAGGTCTGACAGAAGGAGGCGCCAGGCTGAGCCTCAGCCACGCTGCACAAACAAACGGCGCTCAGCTGTCAGTCTGGTTCACGTAGACCTGGATGTCACCTCGTTATTAGGAAAAAAAGTTGTTTATTTTGCAGCAAATCATGAAAAAGGAAATGTATTTCCAGTGTTTGTAATTATTGGGAATAATTTATATTTAAATTTATAAATGATCTACAGAAAATGGATTAGTGATGGTTATGACCAGTTCCATCACTGGGTCTACACTCAACTGTGTCTGAAAATAGCTTCAATGTTTTTTCCATCAGACCATTACCAGAGAATTAATTTGAGCTGAAGTAAAACAATGAAACAATCATTCAGAGCATATTTGTTTGTCTTTACTAAAACAACTCCATCCATCCATAATCCCTTTTTTTTTTAAAGATTACCGACAAATTGTGTTGCTGCTTTTGTCCTTTTCTTTCGGAGCGGAATGTGTTGTTATCTCATGCTCATAAAAACCACTTTATGATGACTTGAGCCGTCAGAGTGAAGTCATCAAAGGTCACCGCAGACCACCGAGCGTCGAACACAAACAACAGTTAAACTGAACCAGAACCGTGAGACGTCACAGTGAAAACTGTACAGACATTTGCAGCAGACAAAGGAGCGTGCTCCTGCCAACACGCAGAGGAGGACGACGTCGGCAGTGACTCTAATGTCACTGAATGTCCTCTGATATGTGACTACAGCCATGATAATTGAACACAGACACAGTAACGATGTCTTTCAGGTCGGATCACGTCCCTGTTTGACTGAATCCTGTCACTGGACAGGAAGTGTCTGTTTCAGATTCAGTCAAAGGCCGAACAGATGCAGTTTAACACATGATGGCAGGACTTGATGATACTGTAGATGATACATTATATAGAGTTCATTTTCAGCTGATGTAAACTGTGATGTTGCAAATTTTAAAAAAAGAAAAGAAATAAGTATTGGAAGTTTAAAAAGAAAACCTCTTCTGCCCTAAGTCTTAAACTTTGGTTTTGGATCCATTCCTAGGTTTGCAGTGCACACTGAAACAGGCCCACAGTTTGAGCCACACTACAACTCATCCTTAAACACAGTTTTAGTTTCCAACCATTGCTGGGAAATCGCTGCGTTTTGAAAATGAACTCGACCAAATACGGTCGGTGCGACTGAACCAAGCCGATGTTTCAAAGGCGTTGAGGTGAAGCCAAAACAGTTTCTGCGGCTGCTGTGGAAGTAAACTGTGGCCAAAACCAAAAGTGCTCTGTCAGCAGAAAGAAGATCTGCTGCACCTCCACCTCACAGGCCCCAGGTTTCACTTTCTAATATATTTCAAGATGCTGAGGCCAGACGTGTGAATAGGAACAGGCTGCAGGACTGAGAAAAAAAAAATCTGGTTTCTGGCTTCACCCTACAACTCAAACACAGGGAGAGAAAACAAGTCTTAGTTGAAGTAACGCCACAGAGTTTGAGTCATGTTTATCGAGGTGAATAAATGTTATGAAAAACTGTTATTTCTCACCCCAAAAAAGCAACATGTGCACTAATAAAAAAAAAAAAAAGTCTTCTCAACTTTTACAACCTGAGTGTGACACAACTCATGCCTCCGCTAAGCCATGACTCAGCCACAGAGCGTGACGCACACTCAGATATATAACCACAACTCAAGGAGCACACAATATTTTTCCCTTCGGGCCTATAAAACAATGGAAGAGTCTGAATGAATGTGGAAAAGTCCCGTGTTCCCTATTATAAACCACAGTGAGAGATAACGGCGCTGGTCTTTAAATGAAAGCCTTCGGTGATGAGAACGATTAGAGGAAATTTAAATAACCCCGCACTGACATTTAAATACCACAGGATTCTGTTGAACCACATCGTGAAAACCATCTGTCACCTTTGAGGTGATGATGCAATCTCTCTCTCTCTGACACTGCAAAGTTATATTTTAAATTAAATCAAATATATGTTTGTAGACGTGTCAGGAATAATCAGAAAAAGGGTTGTGAAGAATAGTGTCAAGATATTTCAGCAAACCCCTAAAACCTCTGAACTGCACCCCAAAAATATCCAGTACTTTGGAATGGTGATTAAACAAAAATGAAAAAAAAAACAAAAGTTGCACTGCAGAAAAATAGTAAAAAAGTTTGTGAACCACAGAGTTAAGCCGTTCCACAAAGTTGTTAATTTTATAGGATGTGTCCTATAAAAGTTTATAGATGTAATTTCCTCTCACCTGCAGGTCACCATGTGGTGCTGTTGGACGCCCTTAATCTTAGCCTTGACACCCATGCTCTCCCTGATCCACTGCCAAAGTGGAGACGGAGACGGAGACTGGGGTTCGGGCTTTGACATCCACTCCTCCAACCACAGCGCCCAGGCGGTGGGCGACGAGCCTGTGAGGATGAAAAACAGCCAGGAATGGGAAACATCAAGTGTTTTTTCCCCGTTTTAGCCGTGCCCCCCATGCTCCCCCTGATCCCCTGCCAAAGTGGAGACGGAGACTGGGGTTCGGGCTTTGACATCCACTCCTCCAACCACAGCGCCCAGGCGGTGGGCGACGAGCCTGTGAGGATGAAAAACAGCCAGGAATGGGAAACATCAAGTGTTTTTTCCCCGTTGGTCTTGAATATGCTGCACCCTGACCCCCAACCAGACAGATGCTCCGTCCACTTCACAACCGACAAGGTTTTATTGCGGATGCTGAAAGCCCAAAAGGAAGAACTGGCCTATTTGCAGGCCGTTCAGCGGGGGAACCAAGCGGTGGTGGAGAACTTGGTGCAGTTTTTGGGGTCAGAGGTGGGAGAGCAGAGTTACGAGGACGTGATCAGAGAGAACGTCATCGGCATCCGGGAGGAGCAGAAGAAGTGTCATGAGGTGGTGGGGAAAGCAGAGGAAGATCTGGAGAAGCAGTTGGAGGGGGATTCACTGAACTCACTTGTTGGGATGAATAAGTGAGTGTGTCTCTTCAGTCCATGACAGACCGCTGCCATTAAGAGAGCGTTTATCGGTAGAACATGACATACATGTGAGCAGACGCTTTTATCCAAAGCAACTAACAAGTGGGGGAGGTGTCGTCCCTCTGGGAATCGAACCCAGGAGCAAAGCAGGCGTGCTAATTTGCTACGCTAGTCAGTTTATTGACTGGGACAACAGGGGAAAATCAATCAGTAATATTTGGTTGACCAGAGCAGTTCATGGTCAGCACCTCTAACCCACAGACAATCAGGGAGCGTCAGTCAATAACTGCTAAAGCTGATTAGTTGCCAATCAGCTGCTGATTACTGTCACTAAAAACAAGGCATTATGGGGTTTTGACCAAAGTAGACAAAGACACAAAGCCGTTTTTTTAACACCAGGAATACACCCTGGTATCTTTTATAAATTTTACTTTTAACCAGAAATGTGTTGTTACATGTAAAATCACACAGTAACCCTCTCAGTGTGTGACCTGACCTCAGACAGATGGCTGACATTTTGGGGACATGGCCACACTACTCAGACCTGTTTGAAAACATGGCTGTATTAGCATGGTTCACTAAAATTCTGCAGTACATTCCCCCTAATTTGAACACTGTGTACTCACCCTGACCCAGGGGTCGCTTGACCTCTATAGTCACTGTATTTTATCAGTGGAGGGGTCTGTATCCATAGGTCAGTAGGGGAGAGAGGATGGACGCTCCATCAGGGCTGGAATGAATCAGAGAAAACACTAAAGAGAACCAGGATGTATCTGTTGACCCACACTTTGATACATTAGCGAAAAATGACTACAATTTGGTCAAAACATGATGTAAATTATTCAAAAGCAGCAAAAAAAATTGTATATTAAACATTTAAACCAGTCAGTTGCTAAAAGTGCAATAATATTTTAACTAATTCCTTGCTGAGCCACTTAAAATGTTTGACTTTGCAAAAACTGTTTGGTAAAACTGTCATTTCCTGTTCCCTCCCTCGGTCTTCCTGTCCGTCCGACCTTTACTTCCTGGGGCAGAATCAAGGAAGAGTCCTCTGCTTTTGATGAAATGCTCGGAGCTGCTGCCGACATTGCCACCAGACTGGAGAGGTCGTCGAAGTCCCTGCAGGACTCCTTCACCAAGCAGCTGAGAGACATTGTGAAAATCAAAATCCTACGCTAGACATGGGTCAAAAAGTTTGACCTTCATTTCAGCCGCTTAACCAAAGGAAGCCAAACATGTAGTAAAACATGTAAATAGGTGTGTATACTGTACAGGCGTGTCAGAGTCAACATCCCATCTACTGCAAAAGTGTAGAGTCAACATCCCATCTACTGCAAAAGTGAAGTCAAATGTATTTGGAAGTCTGTGGACTGGTCTGTGAGGTCAAACATGAACACAGTCTGTGGTGCAGCTTTGAGCCAAGTCCGTATCGGCCTTCAGAGACCTGAACGACTGTGTAATAATGAGTCTGTTAGTCTTCTCCAGAGGAAACTGTGGACCAGCCATCTGTTCCAAGGGCAAGGACCGAGGCTGTCGCAAACTTAAGACGACTTTTGTCCTATTACGGAGAAAAGAGTCCAAATATCCTTTAGGTGGGGATAAGGAGCCGGAGAGTGCATAAATGAATCATTCCTGTCATTAGGAGGAATTATCCCGAAGCCTGAATATGGATAACCTCTGTTTCTTTCTTCAAGGTCATGTGAGCTTTTCACTGTGAAAGTAGTTCTGTACTCAGTGCCATAAATCATTGCACTTCTTTCTTTGGGCCGGCAATAAATCATGAAAGGAATGCTATATGCTGTATTATTGAAGAAATGTGCTCCAAACATTAAAATAAAATTAGAATTCATGTCTTTAATGCACAGAAATATACTCCTGGTGTCTTCTTGGAAAGTGAAAAACTTTTCTGAGTCTTTTACTCTTATTTTGAAGAAAAAAAAACTTCTGAAAACACTTTAATAAACATTCTGTCTGTTAACTAAGGTTCAGCTGCAGCTGGTACAACCACTGGAACTGCACGAACGTTACTGATCAAAGTCACAGATATTATCAGCATCGATGTAACCAGTGAGATAAATATACAATATGGAAACCTGTGCAGGATAACAATCCTACAGGAAATCAGAATCTGACTGATTGATTCACTGTTAGGATCAAAGTGTATTTACCTGTAGTGTGGAGTGTGTATGTAGGCTCCTATCATACCAATCAAAAAGGCATCACTCCTACAGTAGTCACATGACACACACATCTACAGAATATCTGTCATATCAACAGTGCTGATTAATCAAGATTGGTTGTTTTATTTTTTATATTTTTTGGTCTGATTCTATGTTATTCATGTTCTTCCTTAACCTCACCTGGTTGAACATGAGAAACATTCTTTAAGAAGTGTGTATCTGGGTGTAAATAGATGTGTGTGTCAGGGTGCTCTGCACACACACAGACACACAGAGAGAGAAGGGCAGGGGCAGGAGGAGGGACATTTGTGGAGAGGGAAGACGGGAATCACTCAGATGGAGCTCCTCTTCTCGGAGTAGAAGTCGCTTCTACTGCAGACAGACCAGAGACCAGACTGGCCGTTACTGATGAAACTTCTCAAATTTTCCACTTTTAAGAAGTGCTGCATTTGGGACCAAAATCCATCCCGACTTTTTGGGCTCTTTTATTTCGTGAATATTAACGAAGTGTTGTTTGAGGCTTGGCTTCCGTCACTTGCCTTCTCTGGACCGTTTCAGCACCGGCTGAAGGACAGCGACTTTCCTCTCCGGCTCTGTGCGCTGAAACCAGGGAGGGAGCCGCTCCTCGACCCCTGCTCCTCCTGTGGGCACCGGGCTCAGGGTGAACTGTTTGACACCTCCGTCCATGCTGGGCTTTGAGGAAGTTTCTCTGCGCACTCCTCCTGATCGAACATTCGTATCTCAAACACCAGTTTTCTGTGGGGAGCAGCAGTGGTGCTGAAGTTTAGCGGACATGCCTCCCGGTGGTGAAGATGTCAGATTTTCCGCCGACTTTAACGTGTCCACGAGGTAACGCTGTTTTGACAGCGGACGGGAAAAGATCCGGGGTCTGCAGGGGAGGTTGTTCTGCGTGTTTCTGTCGCCACAGGAGGTGAACATGGGAAACAACCACCTGTTCTCCGTAAGGACGGCTGTGCTGTGGTCACTGCTGCTGCTGCTGCTTTGTCCTCAGGCAGGTGAGGAGTTTCCTCCTGATCTTTAAACGTCTCTCATCTTAAATACATTCAAACCAAGTGCTCAAATCGAGCATTGATTAATCCTGAAGATAATCTAAACATGATTTCTGAATCAGATGTTTTGATAGGAGTCATGAACAAATGACCATCAGCAACATGAAAAACAGGGAATAATAGTTGTTTCTTTTAACCTCATAGTTTTAGGGAGGAAAATTGCAATATTTTGCAATGTTCGACCATCAGATAATAAACCCATGAAGTCAATTTTACATTTTACATTTGGAAAAATACTATATTTTTCCCCCGAACCTGAAATGTCCTTCACTCCCAACTACATTTACTGCATTAAGGAAGAATAAGGTTTTTATTTATTTCATTTTATTTGTGTGACACATTGTTGTGACCAGGCCTCTATATTAACTCAAAGTCCTTCATAGTCTGAGTGAAGTGTATTTTCCTCTGTCCTTGGACACATGTTCAGAAACTGTTTTACAAAAGCAGCATTTATTTTAAAAAAAGATGGTATTTTACCTTGACCAGTGTGTAAATGACTTCAGGTTCGGTTGTACAAACTGGCCTCAGTCACTCAGAGGTGGGAGATGAGGAGCTGTGCACCTCCTCATCCTCCGTATCTACACACCACAGCAGTTAACTGTGAACCCCTGCCAGTTCACTGTACTGTGTGTCTCACAATGGCACTGACACGTCCCAGCCTGTCCACCTGACACCTGCAGTTAGAGTCGACTCACACTTCACCTTATTTCATTTCTGTACCCTAATTTTTAATGTAAGAATGTGACAGCACAATTTTCCAAAAAAAAAAAAGAAAAATCTCTGGCCTGAGAAGCTGCTGACTCGCTACACTCCAAACTGGTCAGTGTTTTATACGCCCTCCTCGCCAAAGAGCTGGGCAGCGGTCCAGCCACTCATGGTGCGGCGTGGCGGATGTTGGAGCTGTCACTTCAAGTCTCTGCTCAAAAGAAGGCTTTGATGTACGACGCCCAGGGGCCGCTTCCAAGCAGCACATCTGGTCCCTCCCAGATGCTCAGACAGATTAACGTGCAGCACCTTGACTGTCAAGTGTGCAGATAAGAAGACTCCAGCGCCAGCTCCGGTTGCCAGAATGAAATTAGTTCATGATTGCTGGAAAGCAGCCCATGCAGGCCTCGGGCAAATGAACAGGATTCATCACATTTACCATATCTAATTTGAACCTCTCCTAAGAAAGAAAATGTTTGCTTCATATTTAAGGAATAACTTTGGAAAAAAAGTCAGACCGAGTGAATGTCACAGATCAGCATGTGTGGCTACTTGTGTGTGTCATCCTCCACTGAACTGTCCTGTTAGGGGCTCTGAGTACTTGTCGATACTGGAGTCAGACCTACGAGTCGCCCATTGACAGGTAATGATGTGGCCTTGGCTCAGTAACCGTGACAGCTGCTGCCACACGAAGGTGGGCCAGGTTCTTATAATAGGGGGCTTAATGGCGCACACATCATTGGGCCGCATTACACGCTGAACACACTGTAGGTCAGAGGGAGACGCGTTGATGCCCCGTTTGAACATCGATGACTCGACTCAAAAACTCCATCCTTTAAAGCTGATGTTACACCCCAAAAACTCCATCCTTTAAAGCTGATGTAACAACAGCTTTAAAGGCTGTGCCTTTAATGTGACTAAAAATTAGATAAAAAAAAGTCACACAGTTTGACATTTTTTAAGCTATATAAATGTTGAACATTATTTAGTGAGGAATTATTAGTAAATCTGCAAAAGTTTATTATGTAATCTATTTATTCACTATTGTCGGTGTTTATCACATAAATGTGTGTTTGGTGCAGTTTAAACAAACTCAACTTTATGTATAGACATTTGGCCATACTACACAAAAGTATAGTGTATTTTTGTTGTTGCCGTTATATCTGCAGGGAAGTGTGAAATGTTCTTCTATTTTGCAAGAACAACTACTTTAAAGAGACTGACACTGCAGTGTCTGTCACCTATATTGTTACAAATATTGTAAGTAAACAAAGCCTGGCAACTGGGTCGGAATTATATTGAATTTCTCTCATCCTTTGACTGTGTCTATAAAGTTGGTTAAAGCAGGACAGAGTGTCTGTTTATGAAAATGAACGTGAGGTGACTGGAGAAATAAAAGTCAGAGGGAGAGTGACGGTGGAGGAGATAACAGACGGGGTGGAGTGGACGGAGGTTATCTGGACCGGGTTTGTAGCAGAAAAAAGTGAAAAGCCTGGTCAGTGAAAGACCTGAGGCAAAGAAGGAGGAGAGAAATCTGAAGCTGTTGTCATTTAAATTGGGAGAGTTAGAGAGGGGAGGTTGATGGACGCCTGCTGTCCGCAGCACTTTTATAACATGTCCCAGTGTTAGGATGACTAGAACGACTGAGACTAAAGATGTAGCACAACATTAGCTCACAAAGGTCTTCTTCAGACCCGGAACTCTGGGTTAGGTAATTGATTTCTGCATCAGTTGGAACCGAGTGACAGCTCAACAATAAACACCCTCTATCAGGGAGAAATTAGCTCACCTTCACTTAACACCAGCAAGTAACCATGTGTGTAATCGGCTCTGACGACACTAATGAGAGCGGAGGCTGCTGTAATCCCCACAGGGACCAGATTCCCATCCATGTCCGTGTTGTCCATGATTCCCAGAGAAATGATTCCCAGTCTGAGCTGGTGCAGCCGTCTGACACGCAGGAAGTAAAAACTTAAGTAAAGTCAAATGTCAAGTGTTGGAAATAAACTCTGATGAAGGCAGGAGGTGCTGTTGAAATATTTACTTTTTTTTCCTCCGCCTCCATCTGCTCAGATATTGGAGTTAGAAAGACACAGAGAGTGAAGATTAAAAGATGAAATCAATACGATTTTACTGGAAAAATACTGGTTGTTTAAAGTACTAGAAGAATGTGTGTAATTCCAACATGTAATTACCGAGGACACAACATCCTATCTGTATCTGATGTACTGCTGTCAGTGTACTGCTCCACTGTTCTAACTACAAACTGAAATAAAAACAGATTGGACTGGAGATATGATGTTACATGTCATTAAATATATCAAAAATGATTGGTCCACAGTTTTCTGTCATGACAAGACACACTCTCATGCTGAGGACAAACTCTTCAAGACGCTGTTTGCCGGCTACAACAAATGGTCCAGACCAGTGCCAAACATCTCTGACGTGGTCATCGTCAAGTTTGGACTGTCCATAGCTCAGCTCATAGACGTGGTGAGTTTGGAGGGACAACTGGTCAGGAATATTTTAAATATCAAAAGCAAAAAAAAAAGAAAAACAACTACATGCAAGAGGTCAAATCAGAAGAATCACCTGTTGCAGTACAGCTGCACAGTAGTGACAGTAAATTCAAGTTTCCTTTTTATTTGAAGTTGTATTTGAAATTTTAACAGACTTTTATTTTGAAACTCTTCTTCTTTTTATCTTAGTGTGATAAACCATTATGCAATCAACTAGAAGGCTGAAGATTTGAAAAATCTACCAAAAGCTCTGGAACATTCCAGGGCCTTTAAGTTACTTACATAAAGGCATATTTAGGCTACTTTGACAAGTCTCCATAAACCCTCTCACACACTGTATACTTTCCTGCGCTGACCTCTGACCCCAGATTGTGTCTGTGTCTTATTAGGATGAGAAGAACCAGATGATGACGACTAATGTGTGGCTGAAACAGGTTAGAAAAATAAAACAGACCAACCCTCCCCCTCCTCCCCCTCGTCCCCCTCCTCACCAAGGCCACATCCTCACTGTGTTGTTTTCCACTCACAGGAGTGGAACGATTACAAGCTCCGCTGGAGACCGTCAGACTACGACAATGTGACGTCCATACGGGTCCCATCAGAACTCATATGGGTTCCAGACATCGTCCTCTACAACAAGTAGGACTGATGTCACCAAACTGATGCTGTTTATCTAGCTGATCTAATCACTGCAGCTGTGAACTCCAACTCCAGGTCTTACAGTGCTTCATAATCAGAACTGTGGCAGTCATGGATCAGTGGGTAGATTACCAGAAGTCAGGGGTCCGTTTCTCTATATCACATAATGTAAAATTCAGTAACAATCTGTAAAGATTCCATTTGGTTATTTTTTTTCAAAAGCATCAAAATCTCAATGTTTAATGGGAATTTAATAAGCGCAGAAAATCTAACATTTTTCCCAATACTGGTCCATGAGAAGAGTAAAGAACAAGTCCTCTAGGAGAGAATGTGTTGTACAGCACTACCATCTAGTGGCTAAAATATACACAGAAATATTTCCTCTATATACGTACCTGCTATTTGGAATTTATGTGGGCTACGTTTTTTTCGTTATTTATAAGCGTTAATGCAACTGCATTGAATTATTGGAGCTAATAAAAATGAGTTTATACACACGAATAACTCTGGTTCAAAATCTACTGTGGTGTGAATTTCATCCCAGTCCTAATCACTTCATGGAGATGAAATCAGAAGGACTTATGCTGGAGTTCTGCTCTGTCAAACCTGTGAAATCACAATCTGGTGAGTCTGATAGAAGACCAAGCTGCTGTCACTAAAACTCCTGAAGGGAGGAAATATGACAGCAGGAGACCATTGTTATGGAGGGGAAGTCATAACATTGTTTTCAACTGCATGGGTTGTGAAAGGATCTTCTCACAGATGTGATAGTTTCTGCTTTAGTTCTCATGAGCTTCTGTGTCTCACCTTCCAGTGCTGATGGTGAGTTCGCAGTGACCCACATGACCAAAGCTCACCTGTTCTACACGGGCAAAATCCGCTGGGTTCCACCGGCCATTTACAAGAGCTCCTGCAGCATCGACGTCACCTTCTTCCCCTTCGATCAGCAGAACTGTAAAATGAAGTTTGGGTCTTGGACCTATGACAAAGCCAAAATTGATCTGGAGCGAATAGAAAACACCGTGGACCTGAATAACTACTGGGAAAGTGGGGAGTGGGCCATCATCAACGCTGTGGGGACGTACAATACCAAGAAATACGACTGCTGTCATGAGATCTACCCAGACATCACATACTACTTCATCATCCGGAGGCTTCCGCTGTTCTACACCATCAACCTCATCATCCCCTGTCTGCTGATCTCCTGCCTCACCGTCCTGGTCTTCTACCTTCCGTCTGACTGCGGTGAGAAGATCACCCTGTGCATCTCGGTGCTGCTGTCCCTCACTGTCTTCCTCCTCCTCATCACAGAGATCATCCCCTCCACCTCCTTGGTTATCCCCCTCATCGGCGAGTACCTCCTCTTCACCATGATCTTCGTCACCCTGTCCATCGTCATCACCGTCTTTGTGCTCAACGTCCATCACCGCTCGCCCAGCACTCACAAGATGCCCCGCTGGGTCCACTCTGTGTTTCTGGACCTGATCCCTCGCTGGCTGTTCATGCGGAGGCCTTCCCCGGACGTGCGGCGACGCAGACTGTTGCTGCTCCAGCAGGAGGCAGCAGCAGAGAGGCGTCAGGGCCGAATGGTGGGGTTCAAACCGGGCAACTGCATCAGCACCTCGGCTAACTGGCTCAGAGAAGGAACCACAGAGGGCTCGGAGAAAAGCTGTTACGAGGACTTGGAGCTGGGAACGCTCACATCCTATTTCTCTTTTCGTCCTCCTTCGCCCAGACCTCCTCGCTCAACACCGCCTCCTGGTCAACAGAACAGACAGGAAGCAGCTGGAGGGACTAACAGACAGTTGACCGGGACCAGAGTCAGTTCCACTC